GGGAAAGAGAATGTTTATGTGCATATATACATGCAGGGAGGAAAACAGAAAAAGGGATAAAACCAGAGGTTTTTATGGTCCAAAGCCTGTAAAAGCTGCACGTGCTTAACTTTGCCTTCTTGAACAGTTCCAGTGATTTCAGTGAACCCAAAATAGTGAGCTAAAGCCTACATTAAAGTGCTTGCTGGGTCAGGGTATAATTCAAAGTCCCCTGGGGTCAATGGGAACCTTTTCATTGAATTCAATACACTCCAGCCATCCCTCCACCTACAACTGTACAAAATGCCTACTATGTATACATCAAAGTTACGGCAAATTGCTTCTCTCAGTCAGAATAACTCAGGATGGGCAAAACAGGTATGCCGATTCAGACCTACATGTCCTTGCAGAAATTATCAGACTCATTTTTAGAAGTCAGCAATGATCTTGTATACTTAAGGAAAAGCAGTGACATTTCACATCTTGGTTTTTAGCTTTTCATCAGTCATCTTTTAAATAACGAGAATATTCCCAGTAAGGGCTTCCTATACAGAATGCATTGTCTGGATAGTCAAGACAGATGTGGGACTTTGCTGCTCCTCTTTGCACTCAAGAAGTCAGAGTTTGGCTTTCAGCCAGCATGTTGGCTCACAAGGAGTCGTACAAGTATATTACATTTGGGACTTCGGTAAAAGCTCAGGGCATAGCAAATCATGAGAACCAACTATATCTCCAGGCCTGAGTGACTGAGGTCTCTCACCACTTTGTAACACAACTAAATGAACATGAGCATCAAATATTAATACCAACATGTCAACATGAGAGATTCCAGGACCATAACAGATAACAAGGGGCACTTCAAAAATTCATGTTGGGAGCATCCAGCCAGTTGTAGCCCAGGGTAACTAAACATGTATACTGTAACGAACTACAGAATAAGTGTTCCTGTGTTACTTTAGTCCTGTGTCCACATCACAAAAAACAGCAGCACAACTTGAACCTGACAGCAATAAACCTAGGACCGGAGAAGCATGAGGTGATTATATTCTTATTCCTTGAGGTAATTCTCATGGAGAACTAAGTGACTTCTAGGACAGGGCACCTTTCTGGTGGATGTGATGGATTACCGTCATTCCTCCTATAGTCAGAACTACTCACAGTAAGGTTTGTAATTTTGCCATTTGTATGGTTGCAAGAAAATAGGAAGTAACCTTCTTTCTGGTATTGCTGGCTGCATCTTTTAAGTGAAGATGATGCTCTTGCAGTTTCCCAGTTGAAAGTACAGTACGTAGAATAACTAGTCTTCAAACCATTCCTTCATGACTATGAGCACAATTCTTTGCTTGTCATGGACTAGCAATAAAAAGACTCACTGACAAAAGACTTGTAAGTATATATTGAAAGGCATATTCAACCAAAGACACGTAGAACAACTGAAGTCATTCTCAACTTCATGTGAAACATGGACTCAGCTTGCCTTCTGGAAATCTCCTGACTTACCAGCAGATTGATGAGGAATAGACTGAATTTCATTTTGCATTCAAGAAGTATGACTGCTTGATGGTATTTTTAATCTCAGCAAAAACAGAGCGTTTAAAAAAGAAAGATGTATTCTAATTACACTCATCATGCTATCATTCATTAAGAGCCACATTACCAAATGCTATCATCATTCAAAAGCAATAAGTCAGGAAATCTTCAGACATTGAAGCATTTGGCTGCTTTTCCTCTAGGGATGCTAATGTAACCTCTCAGAAGGTTTGTACATGACTGATACTAGAATATTGAAAAGTGAAGTATCGCAAATCATTTAAGGCAGAAATTATTTTGTACCATTAACATAAAGCATAATTTTGCTTTATTGAAGACATTTGGCAATGTTTACTTGGCTAATGGTCACAACAGACAAACAATGAGGTAGACAACAAAAATCTTAATGGTCACAAATACCGACATGAATACATCTCACAAATGCAGCATCAGGAACACTTAACTTTGATTGCACCAAACCTCTCCAGAACAGAGCTGCCCCTGCTCCTACCCAGTCAGGAACGCTTTGTATCTGCACTGCACGGATTCCAATAGCAAAACATTTTGTTCCCGAACCAGATAGGGTTGCTAAGTGACAGCAGCCCTCTTTTCTGCCACATCATTTACAAAACCCAGGCTCTTAAAAACAAGCATATGAATAGTTAAGGGTTCATCAGTCTTACACATCCCACATAGTAAATGCGCTGTTGTTCCTGAAGGCAAAAAAGTCTTTATCCCCACAACATTTAAACTCCAGCCTTTTTATGAGTTGGATGCAGTATTTATTTAATTTTTTTACAACAAATGCAGCACTGGAGTCCAGAGTCTAATTTTTCATAAGATCAGAGCACTCAGAAATCTAACT